CAATGCAAGAACTGTACAGTGATGAGTCCAACCAGGAAGTTTTTTATGAATTTTGTAGGCCCTGTTGTAGAGCCTAACTATGGGTTGTAAGATTTCATTTGTTGTAAGAGACCAAACAGGTAAACAGTACGACATGGTTGAGAGTATAATGGCATGAAGATAGATATTTGAAACAGAAGATGTCAGATTGTTCACAACAATGTGAAAATGCCACTTTAAGCTAATTAAACTTGGTGTTTTGAGYCTATTGTAAATACACGTGAAACAACTATTACTACAGTAAAGTATTTTCTCCTGCCTGTTTGTGTGTTCAAGTACAAACAGATAAAAAAGCATCAGAAACCAACCATAGCTGATCACAAGCAGCATGAAGTGTTTGTTACGCAGCAGCCTCATGATGGAGGCCGTGTAGGAGTACTCATCAGGGTGGCAGTTCCTGGCCTGAGCCTGGGACTGGGTGGGGGGGATCTCTGGTCTCTCTTGAAACACTGAAAAATAAAATAAAATAAAACAAACATACAAAAGGGAAAAGAAAGAAAATCAAGTATTTCTTTAAGCTTGTCATGGAAATAAGTTATATGTTTGATTCTCAAAGTAAAAGTGGAACTGATGTTTGTTTACACAAGATAAGATAAATCCAATAAGTCCCAGAGGTTTGCACRTGTACTGGTGATGTCACTTTAAAAGCTATCAGCTGATTATTGTATCACCACRAATGTCAATACTCTACATTACTTCAGTATTCTGAGGATTTAGTTCTTGCATACACTTCTGTAAAATGGATTTTATTTCTGTTTCTTTTACATTTTTTAAAATATTGTGCTTGAAAAGCAAAAAAATATCATTTTAGGAACAACTAAATAAAGATTAAGGTGTTTACTACAACACCTTAAGTTCAGACATAAACCAAMTTAGAAGAAGCACTATTACCTGTTTACTACATAAAGAGCTAAAAAACACAATGTAGGTCAGATTTAGTGCTGGAGTAATGTTTATACCATATTATTTTTACAACTTGTAAACTTCTATAAAATCATATACATGATTGTGGTGAGTTGAAAGTTCAATTTTACTGATAATGATGTTTATAGTCCATCAACAAACTGTTCAATGAAAGAACATGTAGGAACGTGTACCTGCAGATATCTGTGTGTGTGTGTGTAACATCATTTTCTATAACAGAGCAATTTGTCTGATGGGGGGAAATTTTTCCTATAAATGCTACAGATATTGCCAAAAAATATTCTTTGTTTTGTGCTTTTCGCATCAAAATTATCAAACAAAAACATATTGTTTATTTGAAAAAAAAAAAGAGAAAAATGAGAAAGATTTTTCTCCCTGTGTGGCTCTGTCACTGGTTTTTAGTTGCCAGTTGAGGTGAAAGTGATTTKTTTTCTTAAGACTTCTTGAGATCTAGTATTTCACAATGCATCAAATCACATCCCACCCAACAGTCGACAATTACAGCGATTACCGCAGTTGCACATCTAGTGGACGGCCGTGGAGCTGTGTTTTCAGGAACAAGAACATCTACCAGACACGGCACACGCAAATCACTGACTGAGGGAGCTGACAACCAGACACTGAGCTCTGCGAGAAAAACTGAACTCTAATTCTGCAAAAATCTAATCTGTCATCTCATGAAATAATCTACAAGACTGAAAACTCCACTAAGAGGAAAAGATCACATCAGCATTAAAAAGTGTCCTCATATGTTTAGGATAAGAACACACTTGTGACCTTGATTTCTGACCTTATGAATGGGGTTCATCAACAATGCAATGTGTCCAGCTGTGCATTTGGACATTTCTTTGTTGAACGGTTGTCGTTTTAGAGCTTGGRCAGGAAATTGTCGAGACAGATAAATGGACAAACAGACAGCACCATAATAAAATCCATCCCGTCTCAGGACAGGTGTGTGAAAACTTACCTATGAGCACAAGTACAAAGATGACAGTGGCCACGCCTGCACAAATATAAAACATGATCCGGATGTGATACGCCAACTGGTCCACATCTTCTATGTTGGGCACAAGGATGGGCGGCGCCAGGAAGCCGATGGCAATACCTAACTGCAGGGGGAAAATGGACAGTTAAAAATAAAAATACAGTGGTAACTCACACACGAACAATCACACACATACACAAGCACACAATGCACATTACACAAGTGAGAAAAAGTCACAGATGAATATTCAAAAACCTTATAGAAAGGTAAGGGGAATAAAAATGTGAGAATATTAAGAATATTCCCAAAAGGACAACAAACTAAATCCCTCTAGGCAAGCAAGTTTGGAGAAATGACCCTTCAAAAGGAACAAACTTGCAAAATTATGTGTTTATTCACCTTGTGATTGTATAAAACAACAGATTAATCTTTGCACAATCACATTTAACACCAAAACAAACAGTTTAATTCAGTTGTGGAGATAGTATAATGAGAGGAAGTCATAAAAATTGGTCWAAATATGGAAAACAAAAAGCGACACAGACGCATCTTGAGCCAAAAACTCTTTCATGTGAATCATTACATGTAAAAGAAATTCAACCTGAAAACCTGGAAATATCAGATTCAGGGACTGGAGCCAAAGCAATTTAGACATGGTGAGCAAGAAAACATAGATGACAATGCGTTCTTTTATCTCCGCTGGACGGGAGCAGGGCGAAAGCAGAAAATAAAAACAAACAACAATGACCGGCGTGATATTCTTTGTCTGACGCAGGTGAAAGAGGACACACTTCAAGTGAGGTTAGAGAGTCTAACATGGGTGCGTTTGATGATCTATATTTAATCCTTCATTTTTTTTCTTCCTTCAGATGTGAGACTTGGCTGAGAGATGCATCTGTCCATAATCAATATATGATTTTTTTATTCATATTCTAAATTCAAGTAATTTTTTTTATAAACAGTCTGAGACCTAAGATGAGGGAAACGCCTAGCATGAGATGCCAAATTTAAAATAAAATGTTCAGAAATGTCACTAATACATTTTCATTAGCTCGCTTTGAGTGTAAAATCCAGGTAAAAYATTTTCACTTACATTTTATTGCTGTTTAACTTGCTGCTCTAACATTTCGTTAATTTTTTTACTAAATGTTAAACGCTATGTCTAAATGTTAAATTTTAAAATCTAAATGTGTAATTGTAAGTTAAATCCTAAATGTTGTGGTAAAATGTTGACATTTACGTTCAAGTATTTCAGAATGAAAGTAACCGTTGACGTTAGTGCTCGACTATTGTTATGACATCATCATCCTGAGACAAAAGCAACCRCTAATGCCGTTACTGCTGCCAACGCCGCTACAGCTTCACTACAAGACATCAAACTTGCTGTTGTAGCCRGTGTGCACCACAGTTACCATCCRTATTGTTTTTAATTAACACATTTTGAACTTATACAGTAATTTAAATACCATCTTCAGCAGCATTAGCAGCGTTTGCAGTTACTTTTGTTGCAGGATGATGACATCACAACAAAAGCTGTGCACCAACAGCAAAGGCTGAGTTCCATTCTAAAATTGTTAAATGTATTTTTAAAAGCTTTAACACTGAACCACTTAAACCTACACATTTAGATCTATGATTACATATTTTTGAATTTAACATTTAGTAAAAGTTTGCCAAATGCAAGAACAGGGAGCTAAATAATAAAATGGTAGTAGAAATTTTTTTTACACTGTAAATGTGTTACTGACAATTTTCCAATGTTTTATATTACACTTGGTGCCCCATTCATTAGATGCTGAAATTTCAACCTTTTTTTAGTGTTTTCAAAGAAAACACCAAAGGCAAACAGTAACATTTCCTCTCCAGTGGGCCTGTCCATTGTTCCATATGATTCTGAATGTAATATCATTGTATGTTAAATTTATCCATGCTTCTGTTGCAGGGGCGTAATGAGAAGCAAAAAGGGTTCAAGCAGAGGAAAAGTCAACCGCCAGCAACTTCCCCTGGCTAGAAAAAACAAACCGAACACACATTCATGAAGAAAATCTCTTTGATCCGTTAGACAGTATCTCCCATTGTCACAATGAGATTTCAGGTACAGTCTGCACTTTTCTGTTTCCTCCCAATTTGAACTTGTTACTCCCACATGTTCATTCAGTCCTAAAGGTGTTTGTGAACGCAGCACAAACCTGGTTGATTTYCTAAAAGTCCAATGGAGCAGTCAGATTACATATTAGTTAAAGATTTCAAGAAGTGCAGCCATCTTCTCTGGGCCAAAGATTGTTTAAAATAAATGGAGGCAAAGTGGAAAACTGTTCTGCAGTCTGTTGAATGGAAGATCCAGCCACATCGTTTCTTAGTTTCAACATTTGATATGTTTACTRTGTTAATTTGTGAATACAATATGGGTTYATAGGATAACCAAGTTAGCAGAAGCATCGGCCATGTTTGATCTGAGGATCAACACAAAATGAGGTACTGTACTCGTTATAATCGAAGGGCAACGGTTAGAGGTGCAAACGAGTTCATATGTCTTGGAAGAATTGTGAGCAATCTCGGAGGTGTCGACAAAGTCTTCCTAACAAGAACAGGGAAGGAGARCAGTGTTTCTTATGCTGAAGAACATCTGAGCATCTTAAGGAGCTTTCAATGAGAACTAAGCTTGGTATCGGTCCTGCTTTATGRAGCAGAAACAAAGAACAACCAAGAACACAAACCACAACATTTAGGTCTTTGTGAACAGCTGTCTAAGAAGGATTTTGGGAATTAATTATCTTTATTTAACCAGGAAATGTAATTGATACCACAGATCTTTTTTGAAAGGGAGGTCTGGACCTGAAGGTAGCCTAACATGAATGTTTATTGTATGTGAGAGGAAACACACACACACACACACACACACACACACACACACACATTTGGGGACATTCCATTGACT